CCGTCGTCGCCCGAACGTTGCACAAACTATATTGGGCTGGTGTCTGCATCGACATCACATCAGATGTGTCTTGATACTTAGCTTCTCGACTAATGTGATAACTCCTTAATCTAGCTGACAGCATCAGTGCATGTTTTGGTAGAATAAATACAATAATTACGATGAGAGCGGAGAGCGAAGGCCAAACGTGCACCTTCAATCCGCATTAAAGACATTCATATTTTACACAAACTACGCAATTGCGTAAGAGACGAGTCATCGTTAAATACAAATTAGATAAGACACAAAACGTAGTATTTAGTGGTTACTCAAAACATAATAAATAAAGTTTTTATAAGTAATATTAAGGTAATTTGTTCTTTATTTATTTATTTTCTAACATGGGTTGCCTGGAAGAGATTGCTGCTTAGCAACAAGGCCGCCTTCTGTATATTTCTTTCTTATTTTGCTTCTTTGTATTGTGCAATAAAAATATATAAACGTAGCCCCTATATAAACGTAGAGAAATAGTGGACATCGTATACTTGGCCAAGATTGCGCAGTATCAAATAGACTCACCGGAGCTTCTCTCGAGAATCAATCTCAAAATTCCGAGCGGTACCGTCGTAAGGCGGCCTGCATAGTTGCAAGTCCCACAATGCGCCACTAATTACAGGCAAAACTCATTTTTTGTAAGATCTTCCAATGCTTTTAACAAACTGACTATCTTTTCCAAACTTGAACTATTAAATTCAAAACCCATATATTTTAAAGATACGTTTAGTCAGTTTCGGTTTGACGATTCTCTTACTGTGGGCAATATAATTTCCTTATTTTCTTTGTTAGCACTAGCGATTAAGCAATAAAATGTTACTTAAATTCGAAAACATGTAAATAGTATAGCAATTGTTACAGATATATATCACTGTATGTTTTCCGATTAAATAAAAATAAATAAATTTCAAATACATACTCTTAATGATTTTCTAATATGATATCGATAGTAGGTAGCAATTTTTTGTTTTTGTTTTATATTTACAGATTTTCGCCAGCGGCTTTCCTCTTAAATCTATGCTAATAATAAAGCTTGTTGTTTGTTTGAAATTTATAATCTCAGGAACTACTGGTTCGAATTGTTTTTTTTTTTATTGTGTTGAATAGTCTATTTGTCGAGGAAGGCTATAGGCTATATAACATCACTCTATAATTAATGGGAGTGGAGCAGCAACGAAAATTTTGCAAAACAGGAAAATATTTTACTTTTTGGGAGCTTTCTTTGCGTGCGCTGCGTAAATGGTGAAAGTTACGCAAAAATCATGTATTATGAAATTGACCCCCTTTAAAAGTTCTAAAAAAGTCCGCGACAGCATATGTCTGTCCTATGTTTTATCCCGAAAATAGCACATAAAGGAATGAACATGATAGTGGAAGTTCATACGTAACCATAGTAACTATTGTTAACAATTTGTAAGTGTAATTATATTCCATGTCAATAAATGATTTTATAATGTTTAAAGATATTTTAAAGATATTTTCGTTTCACTGGATGATGCTACTATACTTTTAAAACGATATTTAAATTTTTTGTTTGTAGTCTTTATTTTTATACGATTTTTATCAAACAAAATAGATTTTGTTTTCAATTTTGCGGTTTTCAGGTTTCCGTAGTCAACAAGAAACTTAACCGACAGACGTTGAATGTTTTCGAAAAATATACTTAACTGAAAAAATACTGATTAGACGAAACTAAAATCGTTCCTACAAATTGAAGAGATGGCAGAATATCCGTTAGCAAAATTCGATTTCGCGTCACGCACTAAAATCTCTAAAAATCAAGTTGCTTGGAGGATCAGTCATAGAATCTTGCACAAGCAAAGAATTAGGCTGTTTAAAGCCCTTAAAATGAAAGCCTTTATCTAAAAGTCCAGAATAAGCACAGTAATCAAATATCTATACCCAAGCAAAATGAGGGCATAATTATTAAACGACTTCATCAAAAGGATTATTTTTCAAAAAAAAATTGTTTGTATATTTTCTGTCAAGCCTGTCAATTCTACTGTGTAGTAAAATGGAAAGAAGAGCAACTGGACTATTATTCTAAAAAAACATGCGCCTTATTTACAGAAACAGCGGTAGATTTTCTTTATTTGGTACCATCTATTGGGTTGGCCTATGCCCCAGCAGTGAGGACGTTGATGAGCTTAATGATGATGATATAAAGATATATAACACTCACTGGAAGTTTTTTAATTAAGAATAGTTTATGAAGAGGATACTGTACCACGTAGGCGAAGCTAGTTAATAATAATTCACGAATAATAGAACTATTGGGATCAGACGAATTTTCTTGACATTTCGTAACCAGCCAAACCACTTATTCTCTCGCTTCTGGCGCTCTAGTTGTCACTTGTGCCCTAGCGTTATTAGATATACCAGCTTACTCGTATTAGTGAAACGCTGATTGGACTGTCCTTCTTTTATTTTTGATCTTTTTAAATTATTATTTGTCTAGTTGTATGCATAATCTGCTATTAATTGTTATGTTTTCCATTCAATGCTAGGTTGCCTGGAAGATATCACTGGCTAGCGATATTTTCGTCGTTTGTACGTAATAACGTAAAATATTGATGTATGTCCATGTCATTTTCTTGTTGTGTAATAAAGAGTATTTACTTGATAACCCGTATTGTAAACTGGATGCGCTGACCGTTGGCTTATCTTTTTTGTACAACCGTTAATGGGACAACCGTTATAGGAGCGAGAGTACTGCAGCTACGACGGCCCGAACGTCGAGCAAGACGTCTTTCATGTAGTCCTGAATTTCCAAATATACTCAACGATGAGACACTATACAGCAAAAGTCCAACACACAGTGTGGGAAATATGAGTGAAATAATAAGGGATAGTAAAGAAAGAGAGATTTTTATGGCGCATGTAATTAAAATAATAGAAAAAGTGGTTATAAGCAACAAGGATTAGATAGTGATATTAGAAAGTAAGAACTTGTATAACAATATAAACATTATTGTAAGGTATAGAAAACCGACGCACCCAAAAGTAGCAGGCAACAATGTAACAAGGAACAGAATCAGCAAATACCTAGGCAAAGAATTTTAAGCAAAAATATAGAAAAATGTAATTAGTAAATAAGGAACAGGAATAAGAGTAAGAAAATGCTCAAAAAATACAATTAGGGGAAAAGAGCAACTCCGAACTGGGAAAAAAACACGCCAGGTGTAGGAACTGCCTAACAAAAGAAAAGAGTTATATTAGACAAACACACAGTTGCACAAACGTCCATTAAAATTTTCATTAGTTTAAAGCGTCATTACCGATATAAATTTGACATTCATTAGAGGTTAAAGGCGCCATTACACCTTAATGGACGTTTGTGCAATTGACCCAAAAGACCTGCTACAAAGTGTGGCGAAATGGCTCATAAAAAAGACCGAATGCGCTAACCTATTATGCCATTGGAGCTCTTATAATTTATACAAAATTATAAAAAAAATTTCACCTTCCCGTAGGTGAAATAATTTTTACATCATACGCGGGTGACATAAGCTATAATTTACGCGGCCAAAGTCGCAGGAAAACAGCTAATTCATTATACCTATAGCGTAATAATTTATCTGCGGTACGCCTGTGGGGTGCACTCAACACCGGATTGCGGAAATCAAAACCACTTTCTCGCTCTCTATACTGCAGTCAGCTTTTTCAAAGCTAAAATATTATTCTATTAAAGGAAGTTTCAGACTCATAACACACATGCGTTACGATCAGCAAATAGAGGTGCTAAGCGATCTTCAGAAATCTCCTGAGATCAAACGCTTGCTGTAGCAGTTCTCCGAGAGCTCAAGAGATTTTCCTGACAGTGAATGCTTCAGATTCAACTTGAATGCATGCATGAGCATGAGCCTCACGATCGCCAGCTAAATACGCTTCGCATTCTTTAGGTGTCTCCTGTGACCGAGCGCTTTCTGTCCGAACTCTCCGAGAGCTTGAGCTTTCTTTGTCTATAAAAGTCTTAGGATCTGACGGAAGATATGTACGCGGAGTCTAATTTATCGCGGAACGTTAAAAAAACTATATTAAATGATATTCAATTCAAGTTTGCACACTCAATGGTAATCGTCTACTAACATATACTTCCGTGAGGCGCTTGACTGAACTTGCTTCAGATTTAAACCGACCCTCAGACTCACATATGAGCGTGAACCTGGCCTGAGTGGTAAGTGTAAGTTTTACGCTAACGCGTTCACTAGTGAGCGCGTTAAGAATTTGTATGGAGATTTGTAGTTCTTGATAGTTACCGCTAGGGGCGCTGTGCCGAATTCCATACTAAAATCTTAACGCGCTCACGATCGACAGTGAACGTAAACGTCAAAAAAACTTACACTAAGCGCTCTGATACAAAATTTACTATCGATAAGTTTTTCGATAGTAAATGTCTTAACTATAAGCTACTTGATGCTTAACTGTAGCAGCGGAACGCTCTTTTCGCTTGATCTCTTACTCGCGTGATCATATACCAAATGTCCATTATATTATTTATTTTTGTGTTCTATTACGTTTATAAATGCGCCTCATAATAGTTTTTTCATATATCTCCATCTCCAGTGTAGTGCTCCGACCAAGTCGAGCAAAAAAAGTTAAAAGGACACGACTTAATTTTATGATATGAAGAAATTTATGTATTTCTTATATTTTCACGCGCACTATCCATAAATGAAACAACCTTTAAACGGTTTTATTGTGTTTGTATTTTTGTTTTATTGACGTTTCGGACCCTTTGCGGGTTCCGCGTTCACAAGACTAAGGTGTTGATTGTCCTTCAAAACATTACTAATTATAAGAAATGTATTTTTATAGGAAATTATTTTGATTGATTTTTCATTATGTTGGTTGTTAGTGGGTCCTACGAATACAATGAGCTTAAAGCTTATATCTTAATACTACATTTAGGAATGCAATAAAATAAACAAATAAAGTTGGTGAAACGCTGAAATAAAATAAACATTAACAATGTAATAGGATTTATTTATTTTATGACACTTCAGCATAATTATTATACCTATAGTTATTACACGAACGCAAACAGGCTACGGTCAGACTAACACATTACAAACGGCGAGGGGCGCTACCGCCTAACTATCTAGCCATGATTCTAGCTATAGGATACGACATCTTATAGATGTTATGCCGATATTTCGATTCCTTTTACTACTTTGAAATGTATTTTAGTAACGACGTACGATCGATAAAAAACGATTAAGTAAGCTATGGCTAGAGTTAGACGGTTACACCACTTAAATAATAATAAAATAGAAACATAATTGTGCAACAATTTTTTTATTTTTCAAAAATTAGGACTCTTTACTCTTTAAATGACATGGCGTTACTATGTCCGAATAATCTCTACCTAGTTAAGTAACAAAATATAAGAGCACTTTATTTTCTCTTCCTCCTCTCAGCTCTACTGCCACCCATATCTTGAAGCTGCTGCTCTAGTTCTTTGAGCTGGTTGTCTGGTACGTAGCGCATCTCCTCGTGTTCTGGTTGATGCTCGTGTACATTCAGTGTGCAGCCCTGCGGCAAGCAAGCACGCGCTACTCGCAATAATGTACCTAATGCCCACGCTGGTACATCTGTCACCTGTGGTATTCATCAAGTGTTTATTTTTGTTAATAATACCTCATAAAACAAACAGGTGATCATATTGTTTACATTTAGTAAGAGCTCATTGTGATTGCACTGAATCAAAAGGGACTAATCTTGACTTGCATAAACAGTAGTCATAATAATCAAACTGAATGATGGAACTACTTAAGTCAGGTGCATATTAAAAACAATTTTTTGTTTTTTGTATGACATTTTTGGTCACATTTACAATGAGAAAAGAAAAAGGTGTTTTTATTACACACAGCTGTAACTTGTATTAGAGTAGTCTGACAGAATATGCAGTGGCAACCACATTGGCACTTGAATTATTATATTATAAATAAAATAAATAATAAAGCATTTTATTCTCATTTTTTAAGATTTCAACAAATTTCTATTATTTGATTAAATTCGATTAAATTTATTCATTACTCAATTCTAATACATTATTTATTTGTCATTTATAATAATATTTGTAATTTTATTAAGAAACAAAGTAACATTTGTATATTATTAAATTAAATTTGCTTGAATTTCATAATTATTAATTATCCAATTTTGATAATTATTCATTATTACTTTTATTAATGAGAATCCCTAGCAAGGGTAAAGGCCTCCTCCATCCCTAACCACTCCTTTCTGTCCTTCGCCCTGGTGTACCACCGAGTTCCTGCCTGCGCCGATATGTCATCGGCCCAAAGACTGTAAGGTCTACCACGTGTTCGTTTTCCTTTTGGGCCCTCCCACAATGTATCCGTTTTGTCCAACGGTCGTTCTCTAATCTTGCTATATGAATGAATGAATGAATGAATGAATGAATGAATGAATGAAAGAATGAAATATGCTTTATTGTACACCAATACAGGACAAAACAATCGAATACAATTAAATTTAATGCACAATTGGCGGCCTTATTACTAAAAAGTAATTTCTTCCAGGCAACCTTTGCGTACAGGAAAAAAAACTGAATCTAAATTTGGGTAGCTTATGGTGTCTCAAAACTTTAGTAGAGAAAAAAAAAAAATACATATATTTAATAAATGAATTAAGTAATAAATACCACAAAAACAATAAATCATACATATATATAATATAAATACATATAGCATATACCTACATAGATAAAGGAGATTAAGGATTCAGGTGAGTGATAGATAGTACTCTTTAACCAGTCTTTTAAAAACGTGTATGCTTTGTCTGATAACCTCTGGCAATGCATTCCAAAGACAGGCCGCTTGGACTGAAAATGATTTATTCATGAATTTACTTGCATGCATTGGTATTGATAACTTCAAATTCTCCGATGACCTCAAAACTCTAACGTGAGTGTTGTGAAGGAATTTAAAACGTTCCGAAAGATAAACCGGTGAATAAGGATTGAACAGAATACTGTAAAGAAAGGAAACAATATGTGCATTCCGGCGAAGACGAATTGGCAGCCACTTGAGCTTAGCACGGAAATCGGAAACATGATCATATTTGCGTAAACCAAATATAAATCTAATACAAACATTTTGAAGTCTCTCAAGTTTATTTAACTGCTCTTCGGTAAGGTAAGGCTGACATCGGCATAATCTAAGATTGGGAGGAGTACAGACTGTGCCAGCGCAATTTTAGTGGCCAATGGAAGAAAATTTCTAAGTCTTTTTAAGGAACCTGCTGCAGCAAACAACTTACAACTCAATTCTTCCATTTGAAATCCCCAAGTAAGATTTGTATCAATCAATATCCCCAAATTTTTAACACTCTCACAAAGAGTAATCTGAACACCGTCGAATATGAAGGCTGGTAGCTGTGCTCCGCCCATTTCCATTTTTCAAGTTCAAGAAAGTCTATTTGATTAGTTTTCAATCTGAGAGCAGTGTCTCGAATTTTATATATTCTACGAATGTTTAAAATAGACCTTTCCATAGTCTGGCATGTTTTTATTTTATTTTTCGCTTGTTCTGTAAACACCCAGGTCTGTGATCCATTGGCAAGGCAGGGCAGAATAGCACTATCTATAATTTTCTTTTTTAAAGATAACGAAAAGTTTCCTTTTAATGTTTCTTTATGGTACCAGAACTTCTGCTATGCCATATTTATTATTTTATTGATTTCATCTATGTTGTTATTTTTGTGAAAAGACTTTTTTTTAACCAAGATATATCTATGAATTCACATATTGCAAACTGGATTCCCCTACTTGATTAATGGTTGTTGGCTATTAGTCATTCATTAGTTTAGTTTTATGCAGGTTCATCTCTATTATATTAACACGTTTTATTTAATTTAAAAAATATTTTATACTAGTGGACGCCCGCGACTTCGTCCGCGTGGAAGTCGGTATCCCGTGGGAGTGAGAAGTTTTCCCAGTAAAAAGTACCCTATGTGTTATTCTGATGTATAACCTATATTGCTGTAAAGTTTTATCCAAATCCGTCCAGTAGTTTTTTCGTGAAAGAGTAACAAACATCCATACATCCATACTTACAAACTTTCGCCTTTATAATATTAATAGGATTCACCATAGAAAAACAAAACACTTTTGAGATCTTGTCACAAATGTCTATGATTGTTAGAGGCTTAACAGACAGAACTCTTTAATTTCTAACCTCTAACAATTTTTAACTAGAAAAGTTGGTCTTTAACTTTAAATCAGCGCGTTATCTTACGAGCCTAGGCTTTGGAACAGGTTTAGTCTACTGAACTTATTTTCTGAACATTCACCAGTCTTTCTTGGACAGTTTCTCTGATGAAGTGTTCTTATACGAATGTGCTTCGTTCGTTTATAAAAATCGGGATTGTTGTTAAACGTTTAAACGTATGGCCGCTTCATTGTCTACGAACAGCTTGGAAATCGTGTCTAATGTGGTTATAAATTTGAAAATCCTTCACTCGCAGCTACAATTTCTGCTTCTGATGTGGAAATAGCAACAGATAGTTCTCGCTGATTAAGCCAGATGATGGTGATGAAGGTCCTGTTCATCACCACCATGATCTGCATCACTATATCCAACAATGCGTTTTGTTATGAAGTCTTGTGAAGATAGAACCGTCTTTCCATTTCTCAATCTCTAGCCCTAGTTAGTATGAGTTCGGCTTGCTTGTAATCTTCCAGCGTTTTTGCAGATTCTCTAAGAAAGTGTTTGCTGTCTCATCATCGCTTGCCGCCACTAATTCAGCACCCACATACAGGACAGCAAGACTTTCTTCCCTACCATCTGTTTTATAAACAGACATGGCTCAGCATCAGCTTGTTCAAATCCCATAAGCAAAGCAAACATGCCAGCAACGTGGTGCTTGATTCAAGCCATAGAGGCTTCTGTTGAGCTTGCAAACAAGAACTGAGCCATTGTCAAATCCGTCCGGCTGTTGCATGTAAAGGTCTTCATTTAATTTTCCATTTAAGAAGGCTGTTGTGACATAAAACATTTCCATTGCTTGAAAGCTTTAATTACAAGGCGCGCTTTGTGTTTATCAGCGTTTCAATCAGGGTTATATTTAATTCTGAAAACTCATTTACATGGTAAGGCCTTTCTATTTTGTAGCTTTGTAAATGTCCAGACGTTATTTTCTTTCAAAGAGTTCATTTCCTTCTCCATAGCAGATCGCCATTCTACACTATCTGGCCCTTGAATAGGTTGTTTGAACATCTTCAAGAATTTGCAGTTAAAGCAGTCCACATAGGTCACATAGTCATTAAGTTTCACAAGTGGCCTCAGCCGAGACTAGCCTCTCAAGTTATAATCAGGTTCTAATACATCTATATAATCTTCAGTTGTATAATGGAACTGCTCTGTTTCTGATACATCAATGGTTAACATAGCTTCATCCCCAGTTGGAATAGTTTGAATTAAGTAGTCTCACGACGCTGCAGAACTAACCCTCTGTGGAATCTCCCCTAGCTCTGAGGTTTGTAGATTCTCCAGGTAGGGCAGGTCTTAACTGAATGGCTTTTTTCTTTGCAGTAATTGCATTTCCACTTTTTCTTTTTTGTTTTCCAGCTGTTGTTCGAATTCTTGACAGCAAGTGTTTCTTCTTTGTCATCAGATGTGTCTTCAGTGAACTTTCAAACTCACAAAGTTTTTCAGTAAATGTCTCAATGGTTTTCTCCTTTGGACTTAATAGTAGCCAACTTGACTAAGGCCGAGTATCTGTCATAAAGAGAATCAGTAATTTTGATCATTAATAAAATCTCAGGAAGACTCTTCCAATTGTAGATTTACCTTGCACCAAATGTTTTTCAATTTCGACATATGGGTTGCAATGTCATCATCTGGTTGATACTGGTAGATGAAGAATTTCTGACATGTGCTGTATGCCCTGTCTACAGAATAACCTAAGTAAAGTCTATGTGCATTACCTTCTCTTTGATAGCATTACTTAAGTTAGTTGTGATTATTATTATGGCAGTGATATGCAACTTCTTATACTATACTTGGATAACTTTATATTTCCACATTGCCCAATTTACTTTTTCTTGAAGGTTGCCAACCTTAACTTGTGTAAAATCCATTATTGGGCTGCCTTTTCCACTACTGTACCTTGTATTAAATTAGTCTGACAGTGGCCACAACAGACACTTGAATTATTAGTTTTATTTACTTTAAAAGATATTTAAAACACAACACAATATAACAATTCAATTGGAATTTTGATGTGATTCTATGTTACTTTCAAAGTTTGTAGAAGTATGTCAATATTTATTTATTAGATATGAATTAAAACTTTAAATAATTGCCTTGGTATGATTCCAGACCTAATATTATTGGTTTATTTGTAGTACTGTTCGGATGAACAATACATGGTTATTCATTTTTCTCACCTGAACATTTCTTTCATATACATCAAGAAGATATTCTGCATCAACAACTGTACTTCCTGGCTTGAATCTCTGTATCTTTAGTTGCTTTGCTGGTGTAGCCCAACTGTAAATCAAAATTATACATTTCAAATTAATATGAAGTTAATATCTTTGTAACAATTTATTATAATACTTTGGTTTGTTTAAACATATAAATGTTTAATTGTGACAAAAAAATATAACCTACACAAAGATTACAGCAAGAACACCACCATAAAATAACACTATTGTAATAAAACCGCTTGTTTCTTACATGCAATAAATGCCATTACTAAGCTCCAAATAATTGTATTCTAAATGTTTATTTACTGAATGAATTTAATAATAATTAATCACTGCCAACTCTACCACTGTTATACAGTAGTCTTTAAATATTATAAACATAAATAGGCAAGTATGAGTTACATACCATTCTTCAACTTGTATACCCATAATCTCTGCATATCTATGAATTTGGCTTTGGTAAGCTTCTAATACAGGAAAATCATAGCCTTTTAACTGTAGATTCAAGCAATCATAAACTGGTTCATCAGGTTCCATACTCTAACAAGCAAAATGTTTATGTAATAATTCAATCATCAATTAAATAATGGAAATGAATATGAAAAATTTGTTTTTATTTATCTCAAAAACAATAAGTAATTATAAAAGACTTACAATAAGATAGTCAGGTTCATAAAGATCATTTTTATGCCTTTGTTGTTGAAATGTGATAGATGGTAAGGTCCGTGTTGCAGATTTCAATTGATTTTGCTTGAGCTGAAATTGATTAAATTAAATAATAGGCAATTTTTTTATAAACATGTAGCTATTTCACTTTAAATAGTAGGAGGCTCTACTATTTTATAGATTTTAAACGATATAATACAGTAAGTAGGTTCTGCAGATTTTACATAGCTAGATAACCTAGGAACATTTATTAAATGGTTTCTGGAATTACCAGAACGAAGTCTCAAGTAATTCAATATAATGATGAAAAAAATATAATTACCAATTTAATAAGTCTTAGTGCTAGCATTATGCTACCCAGGGATAAATACTTCAATATAAAAAGGAACTAATGGAGTTTAGTGTCTGGTTTATTATAATAAATAAAATGAACTACCGATACATGCCCAAAAGGCTTTCTAATATTTAGTCTAATATGAGAGCTTGAGGCTTTTAATTTGGCATTGAGCTTATTTAAAGCCAAATTAAAATATAGAAAAAATGTTGAATATTAAGCATAGATAATACTTAATACTATGTTAAGAAATAAAAATTAGTTCTTGAAATCAAAGTAGATGTCACTAGCGATGTTTCATTCAAACTTTGTTTCTGATGTAATAAAAGTAAATTGAGTATCGAAAATTAATAAATATGACATCGTTTCGTGTTTCTTATAATATCTAACTTTCAAATTAATTTTATTTTATTGTTATTGTAAGTTTCAGTTATTTAATATGTTGCGTGTAAAGGAACGATGTTTGGTTTATAAGTCAACATTAGCGATGAGCCAACTTATTGATTGTTCGTATCTTCAATTGACTCGATCTTCCGAATTCAAGTTTGGAATCAAAAACAAAAAGCGGAATATTTGCATATCTGCCATTATGCATCCACACGTCGAATTATATTAATATAAATATCAAGATTAATTCAGTCTAGGCTGTTACATAGCAATTGTGAAAGTCGAAAACTTTGCCAACGATTTGCATAAATAAGGCGGAAGATCTTGTACTGAGAAGAACCGGCAAGAAACACAACAAGGGCTTCTTTTCTCCCGATTTTAGTTCACACAGAGATATCTTATTGGAATGTGATTTAACTATGAAGTCAGTTTTCATTATAATATCAGAAATCCTACATACTCATTGACAACTTAATATACCTACAATATTCATAATAAAAGATAATGGACAAAATTAAGTAGACCAGTGCAGACTCAACCCCACTGGCACCCGTTGGCGAGCTTGACACATGAGTCAGCCATCGCTTCGGTCATCTATATTTGAGGGAACATAACGAACCGACACACACGATACCACCGCAGAGATTATTAAGAGAGTATGACTATTCTAGGTAGGTACTTAAAAAGTAATATATGTCATTAAAACTGATTTCTAGAGTAAGTTGAGTAGAAAGTCAATCTATTATTGAGAATATTATTGTATGAACCAAAAAAGCACATACCTACCATACGAATCAACATAACACCTGGCTCGACGTCCACCGTCGACATGCAAGTTCACCACCGATAGTACAATAACTGCACGTATTTTGTGATTTTGAAATTTAAAGTTTAAATTATTCTGTTCGTTTCGAACGGACGTTTCATGTTGATTGCTGAATTTTTATTAAGATGATTTAATTATGGATATAAGATTTAATAACTGATCAAAGTTTTTTTAATTCTTAATTTCGCAAGGAAAACGTATTTGCACGTTATACCCCAGATAGCAATTTAAACTTGTTTCTGACTTGCAACAAGTTTGATACATCAAAAAGAAGAATTGCTTCAAGTTTGTCATGACAACTGCAGCAACTTGCAGCAAGTTTAAATCAAACTTTCTAGTTTCAGTGTGGCAAACTTTCCCTACCTTTGACGTATCAAAGGTAGTGCAAGTGTACTGACTCGAATACCTAGCAGGTACTCGGGTACTTTAGTACCTGGAATACAGGTTTCGAAGCAAATATTACTTTATGATTACTAATTTTTTATTAATCTTTTGATCATTCAATACTTTTGGTCCAAAAGCGACCTTAAACTCAAACCACAGCACAGAGCCTAGCCTAAGAGCCAAAGTAAATAACTGGAACGGTTGGTTTCGAATCCCATATTAAGATCACATTAAACGGCATATTGGATATACAATCTAACAATATAAACTGATACCGCGATGCATTAAATGAACAGCGCCATCTAGTTTGCAGTCATAGAACTATTCGTGCACCTATGAAGATAATGGGTGTGTTACAAATAAGTATCTTTTTCATAACAATATTCAAACAATATTGTCGCAAACTTGAAACTTCATATTTAACATAATAATATTGTAGCGACATTGTCACAAACGTGCCTCGTATATTGGACGCAGCAATTTAAAATCAAAGAAAAATCGAACGCCCCAAGTTAGCATTCTATCTGGGCTATTGCATAAACGTCATTCCAGCCAGGAGTCATGTTATTTTGTACAAAAACCTAGTATATTTGATACATATCGGGTAAGTATATATTATTATATTAAACAGATTTTTTATTATACTTATCGTTTTTATGATATTTGTTGCTGATTAATAACTTTCATTACGTCAGAAACAAAATTTAAATGAATATCATAAACAAAATCCAAACATCGCGAGTGACATCTAGTATGATTTCAAGAACTAATTTTTATTTTTTAAATACTTCCTCATTAAGTTTTAATATAATCGTAATAAATGTGCCAACACTCATCTTTTACGAAATTATTTTTTTCCCATACATGGACGGGACACCCTCTGTCCATACTTCAATCGGCATAGAGCATTAGATATTATCTTGTCTATGTTTTTAATTTGACGCCTGTCAAGTCAAGGGTTGAATTGAAAAAATTAATTAATTTACTTGACATTGGCAGAATTGTGCGAAATGCGCAGATAAGCCATTAATTAAAAAAGAAGAAGAAGAAGAATGTTGAATTCAATTGAAGCTTAGAAAAGAAATGGGAGTAGAGTGAAATTTAAAGTATTGTTTTTTAATGTTCCTTGATGTTTATTTAAATGGTGAATAGTGTTGTTTATTAATTGCTCTAAAGTAGTTTTCAAGAATCATGGCATCGACCGGTAGTACACCATTTCCGAAATGGCAATTGGCCATCCTTCTCGGTGCACCTTTGGCCATTGGCTTAGGTTACCTTTATCTACGAAATAGATTAGAAGATCCCGAGAAAAAAAAGGTTGCTGATTTGAAAGCCAAAACAACTATTTCATTGGATAATGAAGAGAACAATTCAAAAACCACGGAAAATGCCCTTGACCGTGCCATGAAATTAAAGGGTGCCGGAAATCGTGCGTTCCATGCTGGCGAATATGATAAGGCTATATCTCTGTACAACGAAGCCATTGAGGCATGCCCTCCTGATCGTCCAGTTGATATGGCGACGTTCTATCAGAACCGCTCAGCCTGTTACGAGAAACGTGAAATGTGGGAACAAGTAAAAGAGGATTGTACATTTGCTCTGAAATTAAATGAAAAATATGTGAAGGCATTTCTTCGCCGTTCCCGGGCTGCTGAAAAAAGTGGTGACTTAGTACTCGCGCTCGAAGATGTAACCTCAGCCTGTATACTTGAACGGTTCCAAGTTCAGAGTTCCCTTGTCAATGCCGACCGCATCTTGAAAGCGCTAGGTAGGCAACATGCCCGAGAAGCTCTTGCTAGGCGCTGCCCTGTTATGCCATCTAAACACTTTATCAAAACATATTTTTCTGCATTTTCTGAAGATCCTATTGGTAAAATACAGTTAGATGACAATGTCACTGGTGGTTTTTCTAAAGCTAAAAAAGCTTTGGATACTCAAGATTATGAATCAATTGTTGATGCTTGTACAGAAGAATTGAATGCCAATGGCAATTACAGAAATGAAGCTCTCTTGCTTCGTGCAACATTTTACCTGTTGCTGGGAAGACATGATGAAGCTCAAGCTGATCTTGGAAAAGTTATTGAAAGTGATGCACCTGTCAAGGTAAAAGTGAATGCTTTGATTAAACGTGCATCATTATATACTCAGCTAGAAAATACTGAGCGTTGTCTTGAAGATTTTGCTAAAGCAGCAAAACTAGATCCAAATAATTCTGATATTTATCACCACAGAGGTCAGGTGTACCTGCTTCTGGAACGCATGGATGAGGCAACAGCCGAGTTCGCAAAGGCAGTGGATTTGAATCCTGATTTCTCAATTGCATACATTCAAAAGTGTTATGCTGATTATAAGCATGCTCAGATAAACAAAAATGTTGGTGCATTAGCGCAAGCAAGAGCAGACTTTGAGCGTGCTTTGGAAAGATTCCCTAGGTGTGCCGAGGCTTACATTCTGTACGCACAAGTTCTCTCAGACCAACAAGAGTGGGGACGTGCTGAAGCTCTGTTTGATTCTGCTTTAGCTGTCGACCCAAACAATGCAACATTGTATGTTCATAAGGGCTTAGTGCAACTTCAAAAAAGCACAGACTTTGACAAAGCTGTTAAACTCATTAATAAGGCTATTGAAATGGATGACAAATGTGATTTTGCTTATGAAACACTGGGCACAATTGAGGTTCAAAGGTGAGTGTAACATTTATTACTTTACAGTGGTACATAAGCTTAGCTTTAGATATAATAATCCTGTATTATTCATATTAAATCCCACAGGGAATAAACTATTGGATTAATTTGCCTCCATAGTAAAAACCTTAGCTGTTTTTTCTATAGCAAAATTGATAAACTTAGTAATCCAGTTGTATCTTTTTAGTTATGGAATACCTTAATGATTTAGGGCTTAGCTTCGTCTCGCAGCAAAGTATTGTCTTTTTCTGTTGCTCTAACCTTTTCTGTGTGACTTAGAACTGCTTATCTTCTCGTGGGTTCTGCGACATGCTAGTGTGTAGTACATCTTTCTATAGAAAAAGCTGATACTGGTATACCAGGTGTATCTCAATTTAGAGAGCAAGAATTGATTTTCAACATGGTTTCTTTATTTAATTATTTATATAAATGTAAAAATAAGGAAACAACCCACATAAATGTGTTGAAAAGTTAGAAATGCCACCCATTTTTCACAAGCTTTCCTTTGGTATTTTAATGTATGTTATTTAAAAATATCAAGAAGATATACATAAATTTAAGTTAGTAAATGTTAATGTGTTATTCATTTTTGCATGTGTTTTAAAAATATGATATCAAAATTAAACTGAAATCAGTTTCTTTTAACCTTATCATTAAAGTAATTTCAGAAGTTTGTATCTTTTTATCTCCCGATTTATCATTGATATAGTTGAGAGATATGTTGTGTAGGTTTTGATACTTTATCTTACATTTAACTTCTAACATGTAACTAAAATCTAACTCTAGGTAAATTTAAAACTTTGTTAGATAATGATTGAAGACAAATTTTATTTTTAATTTACAGAGGCAACTTGAGGCGGTCACTGGAATTATTTGAAAAAGCTATTGCATTAGCCAAAACAGAGTTAGAGATGACACACTTATTCTCACTAAAAGATGCAGCAGCTGCACAACTGAAGGTATCTGAGCGTTGGGGCTTAGACTGGACTGTAAGCTAGGTCTGTCTCCCTATGACTATGTAACTTGTTCAAAGAGAACAATATCTGGCATGAGAGAGTATTCATCCAAACCAAAATTAAATCTTTTTGATCAAATCTTATCCAATTGAGAGTAATTTTTAAATGGTTATTCTAAACATGAAACTATAAAAAAATTTAAACCTATACAAATTTAGTAAAAAACCTAATTTTCAACAGGGAGTAACCTAATTTTTATGTGATATATATACCATTCTTTCGGATTTAGATTTAGTGACATGGATAAAACGTGCTGTTAAAAGATTCCTAATTGATATATAATATGTTTATTGTATGTCAGATATTATTCCCATTGTTTATTATCGGTACTCAGACGTCGGCCGCCGCCCAATCCTATTGCGCTATTAAAGTGAAAAACATTGTGATTTTAATTTACTAAGCAACTTTCTGTATAGAACGATTTATTCGCTGGTAGCATATTGATTATTTCTTTTGAATGTCTTGTTACATTTGTAGTTATGATTCTATCACTATTGAAATTGAAATTGGCACATCCTTGAAATGTATATAAGATGTCAAATGAAACCAAGTAAATTTGTAGTTGCTCTATTTAATTAATATCTATTGACAAATATTTTTTTACAAATAATACAATTGTATTTTAAAATTATTTAGTAAAGATGGTAGAAATAGTAATTGTAGAGCTAGCATGAGTAATTTAAATAATGCAAGTAGTACTTAAATTAATATAATAGATATACCTATTTCACAAATGACAATGGCTCAATAAACTTCTTAATGAGTATAAATACAGCAACTACATATGTATGTTTATTGAAAGTTAATACTAAAATCGAATATTGTTTCGACTTCATATTGAAGTTGTCATTAATAAGGTTTTACTATACTTTAATATTTATAAATTGGGTACATCCAAATCTTGTCAAAATGTATGTTAATGTTACTTAAAATTGTATTACCCTTACTATAAATGAGACTTAAATAATATACATCATATTGTGTATTGTTAAAAAAAGAGTAATAAAAATATTGAACTTCAATACAGAACATAAAAGTTAAGAGCGCGTCGCCAACCCCACCTCCGCCTCATCGAGGACATGACGCCCTTGATATATTATTTGCAAATGTGTATTCTATTTATTGCCTTGGTAACTGTGTTTAAAGTGCTCAGACACTGCGTTCACCATACACATGTAAAATAATTCCACAGATATAGTTCCCAAGAAATAAAATGTGTAGAAAAACACGAGCTCTAGTGCGTAACCACACTCACAACGACATCGTATTGTATCAAAATGAACTCGACGTTCAATACTGTATTTAATGTTGAGTGCCTTTCATTCAACCAGCTGTATTGAATATATAATATCTAACAATACAATATTCACGTTGACTGCGTTTTGATTCAATTCAATGTCTACAAAATCGATGTAATATAGTTACGTTGTAGAACCGCTGACATAATTATGTCACATTATCGCGGTCTTTCGATGAGTATGGATCTTATTAAGTCACATGTACACACGACAGCACGCTTTAGCCTTTATCTGGGTTTCTTAAGTCTTGTGGTATTAAGATGTGTATAGTTCTTTTAATTTAGTTTATGTTAGGTAACGCATGTTACTGACGCATCAGAACATAATATGAGTCATTTGAATAGCACATTTTTATTTTAAAACTAGTGGACGCCCGCGACTTCGTCCGCGTGGAAGTCGGTATCCCGTGGGAGTGAGAAGTTTTCCCAGTAAAAAGTACCCTATGTGTTATTCTGATGTATAACCTATATTGCTGTAAAGTTTTATCCAAATCCGTCCAGTAGTTTTTTCGTGAAAGAGTAACAAACATCCATACATCCATACTTACAAACTTTCGCCTTTATAATATTAATAGGATTCAACTGGATTTACCAAGACCACTTGACTAGCATTTCATTTCGTATATATGAGAAAAAGCATTGTGAATCATTTAATGGATAGCAAATCAAAATGTTTCATAATATTCAGTGCCATTTCAAAAAATCCTCCGGCTGTAAAAGATATAGCGTAAGTTTTTATTTTATAACCTGAGACAAATTGCTCTACAAAAGAGAGAACTGTATACCTATTATTTATTATTGTTGTTGTAGGATATCGTTCTGCTATTATTATGAAAAACTTCCAAAATTAAGTCTCATTCATTTAGCAATTGTATAGTTTTAGCAATTAAATAATCGCTAAAGTTCTTTTAAAAAAAATCTCTAATAGCACATCAAACCGAGCGTACAGACAAGGGATGCGATCGAAAATAATTATCTTTACAATTCGCAAACGAAAGACACTTGACATTAGAATTCTGACGAGCCAGCTCGTACTGGTGGCAGAAGTTCATGTTTCCATACAAATAATTCTAAAATTTGCGTTTGCGTTACCTTTAGCAGTATCCCTGAGAATACAAAAATGGCAGTGTTAAATAAGGGATATGGACATGAATTTAATTTTAGAACAGATATGAATATGTATCTTAGCCCAATTTTTTGTGGTTTCATACGTTTGGTACTTATTGACATATTTAATTAGAGCGCAGTAATCATAAAAAATATCTGATAAACCTATTTTAACTAACTTTATAAATAATGTAAGGTTGTTAACGCCGCTTAAGCAAATCCAGAATTTTACATGACTATAAAAACCGTCTATTGTTAATACCTTACTAATTTTATAAACATGATTGAATGCAAAAGAACTTACACACTCACAGTTAAAATTAGTTTACTAAATAAGTATGGGGTTAATTTATGAATGATAGGTACATTGATACCTGGTTCAAAGATGGCTCGTTGTTTTAAATAAGACATAATTTTCAATAAAGAAAATATTGATCTTTGGTGCAGCATTTGAGGTTAGGTTTTATCGACATGTGTATTAAAATGCATTTATTTATTTGACTGGTTTTATAAAATGCCTTACTAATCTTGCCTGATGAAGATTTGTAATGTATTTGGAATTGTAATTACCTATGTAAAACTATTGCTCGCAAAAGTATAACTATTGTGTACAAATATTATCTAGTCTATGGGTTGCTTTGTATTGAACAAATTATAATAACATTTCTGAAATGACATAACTTTAATAGCACTTCAAGTGTTTTAATATATACGATGCCTACTTGGATAATTTTATTTTACGTTATAATTCCAGAGAAGCTTTCAATAAAACACAAAAATCTTAAGTATTCTCCAAATATAAAATTTGTATGTAACTTGTTTTTATTAGTGTAAATTCTTATAATTTGTATAACGATGATTATGCGTATTTAAAGCGTCGATATATATTTGTTACAAAATTAATACCTTTTTGAATGAGAATGTTTGGATGATATGAAAAGTTTGCTTTGTGTTTGTGCGGCGGCGCGTACTCGCTTGGTGGTAAGGGTGCATTCACCATCTTAGAGGGCCATAAATTAAAATTAATTCAGCTTATTTGTATTTTACAAAATTTTATTGCCAGATTGAATGGACATGTATGTAAAATGTATACAAATGTGTTGAAGGCGCCCTGTAAAATATCAGGTAGTTAGTGACTTTAGGATTAGCTTGCAGAGATGGTTCTACAAGAGTTGTTACCTCACCGATAGTGAATAGTTATCAATTTATGAAAACTATAAAATACATTAACTATTAAAATTGATTACTGTGTTTTATTGAGCCAATATGGTCAACGAGCTAGATGCATAAGGAAGCAATAATTATATAAACTTGGAAGATGTTATTTATATTTTATACATAGCGAGAGTAAAATTATCTGTATACTTAACTATTCAAGATTCCACGCTTTTGATTTTTGAATGAATTATACGTTTAATGGTCTGAAATTAGGTAAGTACAGTCAGATACATACAACTGATCTTAATTATAATGACGGGAGCCTCTCCCTGACAGGTGAGGCCGTGCAATGCAGAAGTGGCTGCCAACCACTTCCTGGTGTTAACTTTCTGGTGTAGATATATACCCAGCACTAAGCACGTTACGCGGTGCAACCTCTGGTGCGACTTACTACAGTCGCGCCTAAAACTACTACTACCTACTATGTGTACTAAGTACTCTAATCTTCGTTTTCACTAATCTAGAACAAGGAATCGCCTAAACAGATTAGTTTAATTCCAAATAAATATTTCTTTATTTTATCCCTTGACATATTTATAACCTGTCATATACGCAAATGCCTAGCGCAAAGCGCCGCATAACGAATATCATAACTTCAGCATTAAGTCACTGGTGAAATGCATTTTTACCTTAGGCGATTCCTAAATACTTAGGCGACAGGTTTGGGCGAGTCCTAAGTTTAGTGAAAGACCTACATAATAATTAGATTTATTATGTAGGTACATAATAACGACCATTTTTATATATTGCATTCAGGATTTGCATTAAAGAATATGTTTTTTTTAGATCTCAGAATCAAGCAAAGAGAATTTATCTATACCTATGTAAGTTCATATCCTATCATTGTTCAGCAGTTCATATATATATCCATCTTATATCAATCAAGTAGGATCTTAGTTATTAAAATGTCGATAATCTTCTGATGTGATGTCGATAAATTTACTGACTAAATCCTATATACATACAACAGCATATTAGTTAGATTACCATATGTCTTTCATATTGATTTTCAATCTTATCTTCGAGGTTTAAGTAATAAGTTTGATAATAAGTTAAAGACATTTGACAATTTAGTGTAAACTTATATGCAGTTGATTATACTGATCGACGAATCAGCTTAAATAATCTAGCTGGTCATGATGTTACCTCAAATTTTAATCGTTTATTTTCTTACGCATGAAATAGGCTCGCTTCTTTGTTATAATGGCACATTTACTGGCGCATATTATGGATATGACCCGTTACAAAGCAAGGGTGTGTTTGGCTCTCATACCAAGGAGATAACGAGAATGAGGTGTGCGTTGACGAAACATTGTGAAGGTGAAGTCTAGTTACACTATTATAAAGCGTCATACTAACCTGCGCCGTGTGGGGCAACATTAGTTCTATCTTTGCTCAACAGGCGGGGCGGGGCTACTGTAAATTATTTTACGGGGTTACTATAATATTTTAAAGAGAAAAGATTTGATTGTTTGTTTACCTTGCTTATAATAGGCTCCGTAACGCTGGACCTATATTAAAAATTCTTTCACCTACCGGAAACTCCTTGCGTTATACGCCGGTGAAGTGATTTTATAGGCTGTAATTTACTCGGGCGAAATCGTGGGAAAACACCTACTACTAAATACAATACATGAATCAGTCATAGTGCCAATATTTTTAAAGTTGTTTTAAGAATATTTCTATCAATTTGTAATGCGTTGTTACAAACACTACGTCTTAGTAAACTACCGTTTACTAAATGTCGTTGTTGACTATATAACTAATTCTCTTTTATGTCTCTGTGGCGCTGCTAAACCAACGTAGATAATATCAGTCCTTTAATAATTAACACTATACAACATCATAGCTCATATTCCAAGTACCGCGTACTCTGGATTATCTAAATCAACGAAGGTAAGTAATTACCACAATGTCCTGACCCAAGCCAATTAGGAAAGCCCGTTCTCTATATTGGCCAAAAGGTTACGACTAACTCTCACTATAACTAGCCATATTGGTTTATAATGCAAAAGGCAACAAATTAAAGTTTATCAATTAAACGTTTTATGTCATCACCGTCATCAGCCTTTTGGTGTCCCCACTGCAGGGGCTCCTCAAGGAGGATCTTGACTCTCCACACTGGCCCAATGCGGATTGTGGGGTATTATGTACGACTGCGAATGCAGCCGGAATCAACAGATTAACTTGATTTCTGAAGAACAGAGTAGCTCCAGTTACTAATATTTTGGTCACCCATCCCGTGTCCGACCCTGCGAAAGTTGCTTAACAACAATGATCGCGGGTCGCGGCGCTTATACACTAGCTACCGAGCTTTACCGAACGTCAACGTTTTATATACTTATATCAATCGGTGTAGTAGTTTCGGGGATACCAGCTGTGAAAAACATACGGACGGAAAAGCAGACAGATGGTCCTATAAGTCTCGAGAAGAGAAAAAACTGAAGGAGGGCGGCGCTCAGAACATCTTGAGCTACATACTCTACCTATATTTATCGAAATTTAAAAATTGTAATGTGTCGCCATTTCTGCAGTACCGGATTCGATTTCTGGTCGAGTCAATGTAGATTTAAAAAATGGTCTATACTGTCTCGGGTCTGGGTGCTGTGGCACCTTAGTTATCTCGAATAATCACGTACTTAGGTTATATATATATATTTTAATTTTTAATTTTGTTTTTTTTAAGAGTAGAGTATCTGTGTGCTCCCATAGAAATTTCGTTTAAGTCTGGTCATCAATGTGGAAGATATTCCAGCACGCGTAGCATGACGAACTCGAGAATGTTTTGTCTACACTCAAATGTCACTTTTCTCGAGTGCGCTCATACAACATCTCACTTTCGACCCGATTCTATTTTTTAAAGAAAGTTTTTCCGGAGTAACTACACATGCTATATAGTAGATAGACACAAACTGAAAAGGTACAGCTATTTTCCTCTCTTTCAACTTGTTTTAGTAAGCTAAAATTTAACAACTCTTGCCTACTTTAGCTAGCTTGCAGACTTTAGGACCTTAGACACAAAGACGGTCTAGAAATATGCGCTTCGTGAGCGCCAATTCTAGGGTAGTGATTAAATTCTTTTTGATTTCAACTATATTTCAACCTTTTTTCAAATTTACTCATTGTTTTTAACCTAACTTAAGATGACATCCACCAGATCGTTATAATTTTACTGAATAATGATTTATTTATAGGGGTTACCGATGCAGTAAACGTTTAAGAAATTTGTTATAAAAATAAATCCATCATCCATTATAATAATTGTAGTGGCTTCCAATGAATGCCGATGATAAATAAGTTGTGGTTGCTTATAGTGCTCAGTTGGGTAAATGGGGCTCTGGGGTTACTCTGTTTTAATTGTACGTCGACTCAACACGAAGAAACCAACTGCGCGGGAGACTTCTCGCCTGTAAGCAGTTCTTTCAACAACAGTCGAATTTTACTTGTTAACTGTTCTGGAGGTTTGTATTGTGTATAGTTCCCTGCTAATGAACGTCTTACCTTTCGATTCTTCAACAAATTTTGAAATTGTATACCTCTTGGCTGCTCTTATAGTAATGATAAGATCTAATAAATCGTTGACTATCAGAAAAGAAAATTATTTGTAAAATTATATCTGCCTCAGAAACCCGAAGGTTTGAAGGAACTCTGTTACCCGTAAACAAAATGTCGGAACTAAAATTCACTTTACCTAATGTAAAAGTAGAACCAGCTGAAATTAAACTCAACAACGAACATTTAGAGTTAGTAAATTCAACAAAATTTTTGGGCATAACACTAGATTCAAAACTGCAATGGCACCTGCATATTTCTATATTAGCTGGTAAACTCAGCTCGGCTGCATATGCCATACGAAAAATTCGAAAAATTACCGATATAGAAACTGCCCGGATAGTGTACTTTAGTTATTTTCACAGTATCATGTCCTATGGCATTATATTGTGGGGAACGGCAGCCGATATTCAGTCTATTTTTGTTTTACAAAAAAGGGCAATAAGAGCTATCTATCAGTTGGCCTCGCGAAAAGCTCTTAGAAAGAAATATAAAGAAAATGGAATATTGACGTTTGCATCTCAATTTATATATAGTTGTATACTTTTTGTCCGGAACAATATTAATATGTATACTAATTATAATGATGTACATAAACTTAACACTAGAAATAAAAACAAGCTAGTACCTAATGCCTACTTACAGGTTACAGAAAGTATTAGGTTCTTTCATGGGTCATACCCAGTGATGTGTTAGATTTGCCAATAAAGCATTTTAAAAGTCGTATTTAAATTTGTTTACAAAGTAAAGGATATTATACCGTTAGAGAATATCTAAATGACAAAAAGGCATGGTGTTATATATTTTTACATTATTGTATTTAACTTTCTAATATTGTAATGGAAAGTGACTCTATCATCTCCTTCAAATCATCTCCTTGCAGCTTACCTACATATTAAACACAGTACCAGGAATTGACCCCTCATTGCATGACAAATTATCAATAAATATATTTTTATGTATGTTAGTGCGTTACGAAAGTAACTATATCAAATTCATACATGTTTCAGCTTTGTCGTTTCGCGACCGATAAAAAGTGTCGTATTTTCCTTCAAATTCTTACGCACAGACTTTCGTGGTCTGAATTTTACTTAATAGAAACTAAACGTGTTGGAGCGTAATTGTATTGTATACTCCTTTTCAGATGATGCATTTTGCTTTGTGCGATCTTGGGCTGCTCGTGGACGTTACGCATGGATGGTGCAGCGAGGGTGTTATCAGTCTACTAAAGGAGACCCTTTACCCTACTCTGTGACTGTCCCGACGAGATCTATGACTTGTAAACAGGAGCGGTATGTTTACTTGATATTAGTTGAATATTTTAAAATATTATCTGAATCACAGTACATAGAAAAAAAGTTAATCAAAGTTAAGCACCCTTGAAACTACCTACAGTTTTATTATATCGCAATTAATCAAATTCAATGTCATTTAACTCTGAAATATAATGTCAGAAAAATAAGGTTTGAGAAAAAGAAATGGTCGATTGGTGTGCCAAAATGTTTAAAGACATAAGTGCTAACTAGATACTGCTGGTTATTTTTCTATGATCGTTGTTCTCAAACGTTAGAAAATGATAATATCAGCAAATTAACAAACTTGTAGGTACATACATAATATAAGGTTTATGACTTGCAGAGCGGTAACACGAGGACCAATAAAATAAATTTGCGTTTTTTTTCTTTGGTAAGATGTTAATAAATGTCGTTTGAGCAAACAAACATAAAAGTTAGAGGTAATTCCTAGTCTTCGACTAGGATACAATCGCTAGTTGACAAACCGTTAAAAAATAGTGCATTTTTTTTAAATACAGATTCAATATTTTGAGGTCAGTATTTTGAGTAGTTTACCTACCATAAAATATCATATATTTTACGGTCTCCGTGATCTTGCAACTCGCACGCTGTTTTTATGATATCGCCATCTTTAAGATTACTACCATTACTATTTCGATTACCAGTCGGGTTCATGTAAAAAAATATTTTTCCAAGTATGTTTGATCTGGTGGTAGATACGTTATTTCGGATAACATTACGACTGCTTTATGGTCATCCGACAACACCTCATGTGACTACTTGGCCTTTTTTAGTAATATGACGTGCTTTTGGCTGTATTTGAGATTTAAGTAATGATGTTTAATGTTTATAGACTAATAAATTCCCACTAAATAATGTTATTATATAGTTGTATAGTTATACAGTGTTTAGTTTTTCCCTCGAACTAAAAGCTAATGGAATGACGTCAACAGACCTATGTGTAAATAATCAACCGATATAAGTTTCATAATAGTAGAGGGTATAAATATTTAACGCATTGGTAGTTTTAGGGTAATAAATACATCAGGGATATATGTATCGTATTTAATTTTATAGTTTACATACAAATACATACATAGTAATGGCCTCAGATTAAATGAAATGGAACATTATCAATGCTGCGTTGTGACTTAACGAGAGACATTTTCTTTAAATTTGCGAATACAATAATCAGTGCATCTATATACCAAATTAATAATTTGTTTCAGCCACGCCGATGCTGAATACAAAGTGTGTTTTTGTAAAGCGGATTGGTGTAACTCGACACCGAAGTGTCAACTGAAATATTATATTTATATTCAAATATTTATTTTAATTTACTATATAAATTATATATGAACAAGAAATAAAAGACACTATCTCGTGAATGAAATGTTCCTTTACATTTTTAGCTTTATTGTTGTCGACTCCATAAAAGTGGTGAATCGCAATAAATGTGACTTTATCGGCTTATAAGCAGCTTTCACTTTATCCAAGGTGCCTGCGTCTATTTCTACGAAAAGGAGCGTAAGAAGTGTGTGTGTCAGTGGGCCGCGTCCGCTGCTTCGTATGCGACTTTTTTGTAGACATACGTCAAAGTACAACTACATAATTAGAAAAATAGAAAATTTTCCTTTAACTCAATATCTGTTGACTTTCAGTATTGGGAAAAAATATGTTGTCCGTATTTATGAAAATTGTTAGAAAAAATTGTTCATTTCAAATAATAATAATAATGTTTAAATTTCTACCCCTTCACAACAAATTTAACTTCTAAACCGTAACTTATCGTCGTTACATTTTATTTACTTACACTAGAATAAATAAGTCTTTACATTTTCAATTAAATTAAAATGATTATCTAACATACAACATTATATGCTGATAATTTCTTGTATAGTTTCTAATAATACTACCACTTCGTGTACTAAGAAAAAGTCTTTTTAAAATTTATACTTTTTACATCGTAAGCATGGCATCAACTACGGGTCTAAATTAAATTTTAAACAAACCCGTCAATCATGATTAGGATAGGAATATTCATTATTCTTAATACAGCCTCTTATTGTACATAATTCTGTTATCATTAGGTGTTGAAATTCCTGATTGAAACGTGGGTAACTACAATATCTTCACTAAAACCTTTTTGGCATCACGCTGCACAAAAATTATACTACTGTGTCATATGGAATCACTTGAGTTCACCTTTCTTCTTCAAATATACTGCTATCGTCATCATCTTCCAGGTCATCAACTTCAGAGGCTGCATCCCCAGTTATTGCTTGTGCAATTAAACCTGTTATACCCGTTGAATTTCGTTTTCCATTCAAAAAATTAAAGACATACTCTTCAATAGCATCTTCGTCAAAAGGCAACAAATCTTCGAAGTCGATTTGTCTTTTAGTACGATTTTTCTTCAAAGAAGAATAGTCGTTTTCATCTGTTTCAACAATACCTCTTCTGTACATTTCCAGTGGAACATTGCTACCATCACTTACATCATACTGTATACCCATATCGGCTTCTTGAATTTCAATAGAACCATAGTTGTCTTCCACTAATGTTTTAAGATTTTTCGATCTACTTTCTCGAATAGTGTTAGATTTTTCACTTTTATTTTCTTTTACTGGATGAAGATGTTTGACCTCCGTTGTTTCATTGATTTTTGGAATTTCATTGCTTTTTGTATCACGATTAATATTTAAATCAGGCTTGGAACTATAAGTTTTAACTTTGGAATGACCTTGTATAATTAAATACATAGGGACAGCCATAGCTTCTGTCGTTGATTTATATTCGTCACTACCGTCGGTTGTTATAATTGGCGATGATGTTGTAAAACGCATATGTAAATAGGGATCGAGTGTGAATTTGGATGGTTTCTTGTGAATAAATTTATTGACTGGATTCTTACGATAGTTATCGAATTCAGTAGCGGTTTCTGTTAATTTATTAGGCGGTGGTGGCTGCATTGTTTGCATGGTTTCTAAGACTTTAGTATCTTCAGTGGGCTGTTCTTTGTACACTTGAACATTTTCTGATGCATGAGCATACAGCTTATCTTCAGGCCGCTCTGGACCGTTCACCATTGGCATCGACATCATCGGACCGAGCATATCCAACATAGTTTTCTCTATTTTCAGATTTGACTGTGAATCAGGAGCAGTATGCTGTTTCTTTGAAAATGGTGTAGGTGTGGTCGTTTCCTCTAAATAATCTGTTATACTTAAAAGAAATTCTGTTGTTGTATCTGGTTCTTGCTTTGTTGTTTGAGCAACACTTAGAACTGGTGGTATATCTGTAGGAGGTAAAGCAGTTGGAACAAAAGTTGGTGAGAATATTGAATTTGTAGTATGATATGGAGGGGGAGGCGCTTCAGATAACATCGGTTTATAAAATGAATACACATGTTTAGATGTCTCGATATGATCATTGGCAATTAAATTATGAGTATCATTGACTGAATCATTGTCGTTCAATGGTGTTGTTGGTCCCCAGCCAGCATAATCGGTACTCACAGCATTTGGAATTGGTTTTGTTTGATTTAAATTGAATATCCAGTTTTGACTGGTGGACGACGATTGGTATACTAAATTTGATTCTTGCAATGCATATAATGAAGTCAATTGTTCCGTTGCAGGTGTAGTATCTCTCGTAATTTCTGGAGTTTCAGTTAACCCGGTTTGAGGTTTAGGCATTGGTATTTTATTTTCATTAAATACGTACAGCGATGGTTGATGTCCCGGCGGGGGTGGCGGTGGTGGGACTAGTATGGTCATTGGATAGTGATCATTAAACTTATATGAGAAGTCTTCGTACTTATTGAGTGTGGGACGCGGCAACCTTCGAAGTGGTGGCTGTCGAGGATTTACGCTTGGCTTACGGGAAGACACGCCAAGCATAAGAACTTCAGATTTTCTTTCTGGATAATGTTCTCGCTCTAGACGGGTGTCATCTGCCCAATAATGAACTCGCTCTAAAACCGGTGGTTCGTAATCGTATGTAGGATCTTTTCTTAAAGGGTCCCCGCGACCTGTCAGCGGCTTCCATTGATCAAAGTCCATACGAGGACTGAATATACTTGCTACTGAACTTAAGTCGATATTATCAGCGGCATCTGAAACTAAACAACAATGTAGTTAAGGTACTTAAAAAGAAATCGTCTTTTTTGTAAATTGTATAAAGTCAAGTTGTTACTTACAAGAAACATTAGCAATGTGTTTCAGGGAAGTAGAATTGATGGGATCTGCCAAGGAGAAAGTCACCACCGATAGCCATATCAGTGTAAAAACAGCCGCATTACTGAGTTTCTGCAAAAAAAATATACTTATATATGTAGACTTACAACAACATTTAAAACAATACTATCTTCCCCATCTTTTCAATTGGAATGAAGTTGGTGTTTCGACACATTCAACGGATATATAATTAAAATGAAACACGGCAAGAATTTTTTAACAATTTACAAATTTGTTGGAACATAACAGAAAAATGCAACTGATTAATAAGCAACGCTGTTACTACCCTATATATGTATATGTAAGTTACTTTACGGCTGTTACAAACACCAGTGCTTTTAAAAAGTTGCTGGAACTCGTATATGTCAAGCAATTAGAGCGTTGATGGGCTGAACGATGTTTTTGGTGTTTTGTTCAGCAGAAGGGCTCGTTAAAATGCCGAGCTCACTGCGCAGGATGACCGAGTAGCTAATTTAATATTTCAAGCATTCTCCTTGCGCTTCGTGAAATACCCGACCCCGATTACTCATTATGGAAAAAATGTTGATAGGTTGTTTTAAAATTTAACGAGCAGGTCATGTAACAATTATAAAAGCTGGTAGATTGTTGCTAGTGACATATGTATACTTATTAGGTATATGTGTAAGTATTATATAGGGAGGTTAAAACGCCCAATCCGTGGTGGACGGATTCTATTTATTTTGTAATATACTATATAAGTAAATCTGTCGCAATACAGTTAAAAGCAAGACTATCTAATTTTGTAAATAATATTTGTATGAGTTAAAATTATGCAATATTTTTATTTTACATCACTGCAAAATTGTTAAATGCACTAGATTATACATATATAATTTATTTCGTATTATTGTAAATCTCTTATTTAAACTTTTAAACTGCCGAAAAGTTGTGATCCGTAACATATATTGAAAAAAAAAAATTAAACACCTATTTTATTATTTTGTGGATAACCAATAATTACGACACAATGAGTTGAAATGACGCATGACGTCACATTTTTGTACATTTTCTACATAATTATGACGCAGACAGTCCTCAACTTTAATGCTCTTAAATTTCACAAGAAATGATTTTATAAGAGCATTCAAGTCACTCCTCAATTTTAATTCTCTTATAAAACCAATTCTTGTTAAATTGAAGCAAAATATAATATTTTTTTACTTAGGCATCATCCCCATAAGGACGCATTAATTGTTGATAAATTATGATCTATCGAAATCAAATCAATACTATAAATGTTTATTCATTTTAAGTCAAATAAATAGTAAAATGTTTGAGTTTTTTGTTGTACCATTAGGTCGCCTTTTAAGTATGAATTTATATAGACATAAAATTAATTCACTGTATTTATCATGTCTGTAAGTCTAAACTAGAAACCTATAAATCGTCTCGACCAACCCATGATGTTATCATCAATATTGTAAAGTCAAATTCGGAATTCGACATATTTTTTTAACGTTTACTAAGGTAAATAACTGCTCTATCCAATTTAATAAAATGAAACTACCAAATAATATCTCACTAGATGGAGACACGATATTTAACAGCCTTCAAAATTGAATAGGAGGAGTGTATATGTTCCACGGCGATGTATGTTCACCGATATTTCCGCCAGTTGTTGATCAATTTTCAAAATTCTTTTTTTATTCGACCGCTTGATGAACCGAGGTGACCCATTTAAATTTTATCGAAATCGAAACAGTAGTTTTCCTTTTATAACAAAACAAAATATACCTAAATATTTAGATGATGGTTTTATTTCAACTAAAAAAACAAAAGATTGCGTATTTTGCGCTCATTCAAAATTCGAAAGGATTTTCTATATTCAACGAGTTTTTATGAAATTAGGTGTAGCAGGTGTAGTGTATTAGGTACGGAGTAATGTTCATCGATTTCTTCTTGAATGGTGAACCAATTTCTATCAAAGTAGCTGTTATTATATTACTTCAAAACCGACTTTTAAAAAATGAGATTCTCGGTTTTACCTCTATGTACGTATGTAGTATGTGTGTATGTACGTTTGATGCGGTTTTCAGTAAAGTATTTGTCAGAATTACCTATTATTAAACCAAATACCTATTATATATAAAATATCAATATCACTAAAAGGCATGAAATAAAAACTTTTTCAAAAAATATGACCGACTTATTTCAAACAATACTTATCTCAAAATATTATAAAGTGGAAAGATTTTATTGTTTGTTTGCAATGAATAGGCTGAAAACTAATAGAACAATTTAAAAAAAAAACACTTACGGGAAACTACATCAAATGCGGTGAACATAGGCTATATTTTATCCCAAAAAACAGCAAATAAACAATATACCAATTATAAACTGGTTCGATTTAAATTGGTCTATTGAACCAATGGACATGACTATAATACGCTCATAAATATGTCCTATACTAATGTTATCACTATTAAGATTTAACCGCGACTTAATATGTAAATAACTCTTATTGACAAGACGTTGAGCTATATTATCATAAAAGTATCTAAGTGTATTTGTGTGAAAATAAATAAATATTATTATCAATATATTTAAGGTAAATCTTAATACCGATTGCTGGGCAATTGAGTCCGTAAATAGGTTGGTTACTCACTTATTTGTAATACCAAATAGAGTTTAAAAATCCTATGTAGAGTTTAAACATGAATTATCTATTAAGACTATTTAGATAATTAGTTTTTAATAGCTTTTCTCTAGTGTCATGTAATGAGATTTTAATTGAGAATATATTAGGATCGTCACGCGGCTGCGAATTTAAATTCCTAAGATTAATTTCAAATATTTTGGAAAAAGTGGAATTAACGAAAGTCATATTTAACTAAAGTGAATCACAACTATATGCGACAGAAAAGTACCTAGGTTATAGCAGAGGCCTGGTTAGTTAGATGTAGTTCTGTACATGTCATTATGTTATTTTATTTGTTTGGACAGTCTCATTATCATTAGCTCAACCGTAAAACGCCCAATGCTGGGTATAATGTTGCAAACTGGACGCCCGCGTGTACGATGGATGGCGGTGGCGACCGTGAAGCTGGCGGCGAATACGAATTTATGGATTTCTATCAAGTCGTACGAGCCACGGACGCCATCGCCACGCGTGTCTCCAGTTTGCGGCCTAAACCTTTCCCAATGCATGCACACATACATACAAACAACCATATGGTGCATGCATATAGACCACAGTCTAGTAAAGTTTTTGTATATAGAAATAATTAATTAAAGCCTTAAACTCTACATCACAGCTCAGTTGAAATCAGATACTTCGGATATACGATACAGATCCTAGGATCTAGGTTGTGTTTCCAATCCAATGCTACGGTCGAAAATAAATCAAAATATTTTCTTTGTAAATGACTAGCTGTTTTTCCGCGATTATAGCCTACGACACTCACCTATGGATGTAGCTACCCTTAGATGAAAAAAAAATGTTTTTCAATACGGAAATTTTAGAAAGGTCCAGTTGTTTCGGAGCGTATTGAATGCAAAGAAGCAATCAAATATTTATACTATTTGATTGTTTATTATGAAATATTTTATATAAAAATTATGAATAATATTAAATTTAAATAAAACATTATTCGTTTTATACATTGGTGTATATAATTTGCCTTTTTCGTCCTACGTAACGTAGACCATGATCCCAGGACCTCCAGACATTACTTATTTTCTAGATAAACAATATGTGTTGGATACGTTAGTGTTAGTATACTTAGATCGCATGCCTTTCTGCTAACTTGGCCTGATGGCCAATTAACAGATATCAGTTAATAAAGTCAAAGTCAAAGTCAAAATAATCTTTATTCAAATAGACTTCTTAAAAGTACTTTTGAATCGTCCAACATTTTTTCCCTATATAAAGTTAACAACTCATCTTTCTTAAATTCTAATGGCTAATTTATATGGCTATTTAATTTTTTACAGTCTTGCCATAAATATTGTTAAATATTTTGTTTGAGAATAAATAGGTCATATAATTTTTCGAATAGTTCTTATAATTTGCTTAAAATCATATCCGTGAAGGTCATCTGTGCATCGAGGTAGTCTCAGGTTCTACCTACATTGCATAATAAATCCAAATATTTGGAAAAACATTTTTTCGAAGAAATAGAATACCCCTTCAGGTGTTATGTTCATTCGTACGAGTAGTAATATAAATATGGCATTATGGCTATCTAGGAATGTAAGTATACGTCACTGGCACTCGGATCAGTAAACCAGGATGCATTGACGATGTTCAGTGAAAGCGGCGCGTGCGCAGAATCACTAACGCGGCCGTTACATGACGGGAATCATAGTGAACTGTTTCGCATTTAATTTGTCCTCTTTCTTTAGTATTTTCACTTTCTTATGTCACCATTTTTTATCATGATCCTCCATTTTTTACGTTGATCAAAATTATGTTTTCACTTTTCTTGCTCAAGATTACGTTCTTGTAGCCTAGATAATATAGCATTTTATCTTCTAAGGGGAAAAAGTGCTTTTCGGGTCTGCGTCTATGGTCAACAACAAGCCTACAGAAAAGTTTTTATTCAATTCAAATGTAACATATTAAAAATGGAATTAAAAGTGGCAATCTCGGCGATTCGACAGATTATGGCATGCCATTAAATTTCCTTTGGTTATGTTCACATTACTATTGAAATGAATGGTAATTCCTGAAACCGACAGGCGGCGTTTGCCTTGGATACCTTATGTGTAATTTCTGAACTACTAAACGAAATCCGTTGAGCAAGCAGTTTATTTTATTATATATCCAACTTCTTAGTGGACATTTGGACATAGTGTGAGGCTAACTAAAGAAAAAATAAGCTTTGGCGTGTGAAATCTATATATGTTTTTCTTTATAATATTAATAAATAAATAAAAATATATGATCTTTCTATATCTTTATATATCTGTCTTCTTAATCTGCTTAATTAATTAGTACATGATGTCTTTTAAAGGGTCAAAGGCTTAAATTATAAAGTAACTTGATCGTTACAAAAGCTCGTAATTGTAGTAGTATTTGAATTTTTGAACGACAGTTTTGAAACTTGTATTAATTGAAAAGTTTCAGTTTGTAAATGAAAGTAAGCTGAAAATTCTTAATCGTAAATGCAA